ATGATGTCATTTAGCGTCTGTACAAAGTTTTTGTACTTAGTGTACAGCTTAAAAGAAACAATTTTTTTTTTTTTTTGCAATAGAAAACTTCTTGCACAAAAAAAATGTACTATAACAGACAAAAAAAAAAAAGACAAATATAGAGATAATTTTAACAGAGAGTACTTTTTTTTTATAATCTTTTACTTTAACGTTTAAAAATCAACCTTCTTAAACTTAAACAAGAATTTTTTTTTTGTCGTGCAGTATTGTTCATATCAATAAATCGTAAAGTTTAAAGCAACCAAAAAGAAAAAAAAAAAATTAATACTGCTTCTCTGTGTTTTTAACTTTTATTTTTATTACTTATTTTAGATCTAAAAGCTGAAGTATCAATCCTGTCTCTGAAATCATTCAAAATTTGGATTTTTGCTGTACAGATTGCATAGACTAAAATAATAGAAGAACAGATGCATAACAATTAACAACAACTAACTGTTGAGTAGCATCTAAAAAAGCTAAAAATTACCATTTAAATTGCTATATTTAAGTAATTTTATTTTATAAAAAACAATTATCCTATTTGTATCTCAAATGTGATTCTGAAATTTCACCATTTTTATTCATTGTTCAGTAACTGTGTTTAAATTTTTTTAGTAAATTTCTTTCTCTTTTCTTTTTTTTTGGATATGCTAAATGCATTATTCAAAGTCAAATTTAAATTTAGTGTCAAAATCAACAATAAAAAATTCAAAAAAAAATTTTTTTTTCTAAAGAAAGAAGCAGTAATATAGGTTGACGCTTCAAAAATTGTTTATCTCGTTTAGAAAGCAATTAAAATTTAGGTATTTCTAATTTTATGAATACTTCCGAATCTTTGCTTTCTTTATTCAACTAGATCCAAATACTGTTTCTGTTTTTTTGCAGGTATTTTTTTTTTTGTAAAACATTCACTCTTAGACCAACATTTTAGCCAAAACTATGATGATACTGGGAAACAAGCCGTTGTTGCTACAACTGCTGTTGTTAATAACAGAGCATCTTATATCAAAATTATATGTTTTTTTTAATGATATTTTATTTATGGCTTTCAATTGCCACTAAAAACAGTAACTAATACAGTTTCTTTCTGGATTAAATACGGTGAAAAGAAATGATTTTGGTATACGTTATTGAAAACGTAACACTACAGTATAAGTGTAACAAAAAAATTGGAAGACAGAAAGCGAGTTTGAGTAAAATGAAATGTTAATCATTACAGTGCAAAGTAAGTCTGTTATATCTTTGTTTAGCTGCCACCATAGAAAGTAACAGTCATCAAAAAGTGTGACTGTAAAAACCTCAGCTCAAGAATAAGTTTTATTTTGTGTAATTTAAATGTAAACAGTCACAATATTTTTGATAAAATTTTTTAAACATTTTTCGCTAATTTGACTTAAAAATTTCATATATTTCATTAAATAAACCGCTTTCTACTAAAAGCGCTGCACGTTAGCTAATGAATTTATGAAAAGATTGATAAATCTAAATTAATAAATTATTTCAGCTAAGGTTGAAAAGAAAACCCATTAAAGTACCAAAAGTTACACACTAACTTTTTACTGTAATTTTTTACTGTTTTTGTAGAGATACTAAAGAAAACTGAGCAAAAAAACAATTTACTAAAGAAAAGACAACTTTTGCTTAGAAAGAAAAGAACAACTTTATTTTACAATTTTTATTAGGAGATAACGTTGTTTCTTGACAATTGTTAAAGATAACAAAATTTTCGTTTA